TATTGAGTGCAATCATTGTTGCATGAAATGTCACTCAAAGAAGTCCTGCAGGAAGTTGAAGAGGGAAAACAAAAACTAAGAGGAAACTAAAGAAGATGGCAACAAAAATCGGTAGCCATTATTTCCACCGAAAATCTTGCTATTGTCCTTGATGAGGATATGATTAATATTCTTGTGATGAGTCAAGCTGGGTTGTGGACACATGTGTCGAATCTTATGCGACATCATTGAAGGATTTTTTCTCTTTCGATACTCCTGGTGATTTTGGAACCTTTAGTATGGTTAATGAGACTGGGTTAATGAGCCTATTCTAGGGTGATTGGTATTTGCACAATTTGTTTGGAAACTAGTGCTGGAACTAAACTAGTGCTGGAACTAAACTAGTTTTGAATAATGTGAAACATGATCGTGATGTTCGTCTACACCTAATTTCTGTTGGTGTTTTAGACGATGAATCAAATGTCAGTACTAATGGTGATAGAAAATTGAAGCTCATTAAGGGTTCCTTGGTTGTATCTTGTGGTATCAAACATCGTGGTCTATACTGGACTACCTCCTCAGCTTGTGTTTATATGGTTAATGTGGTTGAGACAGATATCTCTTCAATGTTATGTCACAAGAGACTTAGGCACATCAGCGAGAAATGACTTAATGTTCTGGCCAAGAAGAAATTTTTATCAAATTTCAATAGTGCTAAATTAGAAAAGTGTAATCACTGCTTGGCTGGTAAACAAAATAGAATCTCCTTTAAGTCCTACACTCCTTCGAGAAATATAGAGTTGCTTGAGTTGGTTCACGCTGATTTATTTGCTCCAATAAAGACAAAGACATTGGGGTGGTGCACTCTGCTTTGTCACTTTCATTGATGATTGCTCGAGAAAACTTTGGGTCTATGTCTTGAAGACTAAAGACCATGTGTTACGTGTCTTCAAACAGTTTCAGGCTTCAGTTGAAAGAGAAACTTGAAAGAAACTTAAATGTATTTGTACTGATAATGATGGTGAATATTGTGGACCATTTGACGAATACTGCAAGCATCAAATTAGACACCAGAAGACTCCTCTCAAGACTCCTCAGCTTAATGGTTTGGCTCAGACGAAGAATATGACATTTATGGAAAGAGTTAGATATATGCTTTCAAAAGCAAAGTTGTCGAACTCATTTTGGGGTGAGCACAATGATCAATGGATTGAACCAATGCAAGATGAGATGAAGTCTCTGCATAAGAACCACACTTATGAGTTGGTAAAATTGCCTAAGGGCATGAGAGCTTTGAGGAACAAGAGGGTGTTCAAAGTTAAAGTTGAAGAAGACAACTTGAAGCCCAGGTATAAAGCTATATTTTATTGTTAAGAAAAATGTGGTCAAAGGAAGGGTATTGACTTTGACTAAATATTTTCTCCTATTGTGAAAATGTCCACAATTCGCACAGTTTTGGGTTTGACTGCTAGTCTTAATTTAGAGATTGAGCAGATAGATGTGAAGAAAATTTTCTTTCACGGTTACCTAGAAGAAGAGATATATGGAACAACCTGAGGGCTTTAAAGTAGAAGGTAAAAAAAATTTTGTGTGCAAACTCAAAAAGATTCTATGTGGCCTGAAGCAAACTCCTAGACAGTGGTACAAAAAGTTTGAATCTATTATGGAGGTGCAAGGCTATAAGAAAACTTCATTAGCTCATTGTGTATTTGTACAAAAAATATTTAACCATTATTTTATCATTCTTTTGTTGTATGTAGATGATATGTTGATTGTGGGCAAATATACTTCCAAGATTGACAAGCTGAAGAAAAAGTTGTGTAAGTATTTTTCTATGAATGACTTGGGTCATGACAAGCGAATTTTGGGCATGAGAATTACTCGTCTCAAAGACAAAAGAAAGATTTATTTATTACAAAATAAGTACATTGATCGTGTACTAGAGAGCTTCAATGTGTAGAATGATAAGCCTATTAATACACCTCTTGCTGGTCATATGAAGTTGAGCTAGAAGATGTGTCCTACAACTGGGGAGGAAAAATAGAGCATGGCCAAAATTTCATATTCCTTCGTTTCTGGAAGTCTAATGTATACAATGGTGTGAAATAGACATGATATTTCTCACGCAGTTGATGTTGTCAGCAAATTTCTCAAAAATCTAGGAAAAGAGCATTGGGAAGCTGTGAAATGGATATTCAGGTATCTTAAATGAAGCTCAGACATATGCTTGTGTTTTGAAACATGAAATACAATCTTGAATACTATACAAATTTTGATATGGCAGGTGACCTTGATATTGAAAAATCCACTAATGGATATTTGTTTACTTTTGCAGGGGGAGGTATATCATAGCAGTAAAAGTTGCAAAAGTTTATTGCACTATCTAACACTGAAGTTGAGTATATTCCGGCTACTAAAGTCGGCAATGAGATGATATGGCTCAAGCAATTTCTTTAAGAGGTTGGTTTGAATCAGATGGAGTATATAGTCTATTGTGGCAGAGCCAGAATGCAATAGACTTTAGTAAAAACTCCATTTATTGTGCAAGAACAAAATACATTGACGTCATATATCTGTTGGATTCATGAGGAAGTAGAGAATAAATCATTTCACGAAAAAAGATTCACACAAATTAAAATCCTATAGATATGTTGACCAAGACGATACAGAAAGAAAAGTTTGAGTTATGCAAAGAACTTGTGGGTATGAGCTCTCTTTAAAGAAGATAAAGATACCTCCTTTGAGTGAATGAGACTAGAGGGGGAGATTTGTTGAGTGCATCCAATATTTTGGTCAACTTTTGGTATTCAATTTATACAAGTAATTGTTAAAAATGAATAGTAATTAGAGGTGAAAATAAAAGATATGGTGGTTGACAAATTGCTAAGATTTGCAACCCTTTTTGACTTTGATATATTTACCTATGTCATTAGTGACATAGGCATGATTTTCTCCTTCTATATATAGAGAATTATTGCTCATTTTTAGAACACACCAAGTTAGAGAGAAAAACCATTTTCAGAGCAAAGTGATATATTCCATAGTATGTGAATAAAAATAGGGCGTGAGGGGTATTTTAGTGAGGTTGAAATCAAGAGTACTGTTCCTTTTGAGTGTATATTAGTCACTTTTAAAAATGTATTTTTGACTACACAGTGTGAAATTCCTTACTTTAGTGATATTAGTTGCTCCTCTTGGCCCGTGATTTTTTCGTAATTTAGAAGGATTTTCACGTAAAATTCTTGGTGTCATTATTTTCTTTTTTTATTTCCATTACTTTTATCATATATATTTTTGTGTTTATCTGCATTTTTCCAAAATATTTCTCTCAGATTTAATCTTTCGATTACATTTTATACCAAGATAGTAGCAAGGTTCATTGAGATACAAGTCTAATTTATCATTTTTCGCCATAAATTTCTCTCAAGACTACTGCAAAATGGATGAATGCCATATAAGAAATTGATATGTATTTGCAAGTTCCTGGTACATCCCCATGAGGTATGTATCAAAAAAATTGTATAGTGTTGAAGTTTACACACCTCCCACAGTTGAAGTAGTCAGTCTATACCATCCAACCTGTTTGTTCAACTTTAAAGTATACTTAACAAATTGGTTTAGTCAACATATAAGGATAGTTGTGAGGTCACTGATTACCTAATTAGATTGCTAAATTGTTGTTTCTCCATCTTATAATCATAGTATTACTTAGCCTCTAATCTTAATGCATTAAAGGGTTTGTTTAGGAGCCAAAGCTTTTTGGATATATTGATTCTTTAAAGAATGAAAGCAAGAAAATTTTAGCTCATATATACCCCTCCACACAACTTCATTTCGCCAACTTGGAGAAATATATCATAATCCTAATTTATTATCCTTGAAAGAGAAAGGGGTCAAATAGGCCCGTAGCCTTTTCGAAAGGTCTAGATGTACCATTCGTTTAAAGTTTGTATCACTCATATCACCGCCGTTCAATTTTTCACACAGATTTGCCCTTATAGGCGTTAATTGGTTTGCTGGACATATCCAACTCATTTTCCATTACATTAAATGTCATATAGAACTGTCATATCATTTTGACCTTACCACATGACATATATATAAATGTGGAAATGGATCAAATGTGTCCCTGTGCTATTCGGATCCATAAACACCTAATCCGATCCATATACAACCCCCAATTTTTAATAAAATAGCCAACCCATTTTCAACAATTTTGTTTAAATTTTTATTCTTTCTGTAAATTCTGAAATTGGGTAATTGATTGAAAAACATGGGAAAACTATGAAAAATATAAATATAAAATTAACGGTAAAAAATCACAAATAAATAAGTAACCTCAAATTGAACAATTTTTCAAAAATTTTATTTTTTCGATAAATTTGGAAAATGAGTAATTGATTAGTAAAAAAATAAAAAATATAAATTTAATACCAAAAATTCAAAAACAAATATGATAACCATAACTTCAACTATTTCAATATTTCTTTTAATTTTAATTTTTTTAAAGAAAATCCCACTATAAGTAACTTATTAGAAATTAAAAAATGCATAAATTGATGGATTTAAGAATACTATATTTATTTGTGATTTTTTGGTGTTAATTTTTTTTTTGGCTTACTTTTTATTAATCAATTACTTATTTTCTACATTTACCATATGAATAAAAATTTAAACGAAATTGTTGAAAATTGGTCGGGTATATTTTTTAAAAGGGGGTTGTTTTATGGGTTGGATGAGGTATTTATGGGTCCGGATTTTTTAGGGGCATAATTTATCCCTTTTCATTCTCATATTAATATCATGTGGTAAGGTAAAAATGACATGGCAATTCCATGTGGCATTTATAGAAGTGGAAAATAAATTGGTAAAGTCTAGCAGACCAAGTAACGCCGACAAGGACATATCTGTGTGAAAAGTTGGACAACGAGGACATGAGTAAGTCAAACTTTAAACGATGTATATCTAGACCTTTTGAAATAGTTTAGGGGAATATTTTACCCTTTTTCCTTCTTGAAATAATGGCAATCAAAGTCCATGTTATCCCCTTGTCAATGACAACCATGAGAGTTGTTTCTTGCCTTATTGAGAAGGATTTGGATTTTGGGTTTGTCTTTGTTTATATGTGTTGAAACGTATGCATCCAATTATATAGATGGTACTAGGTCCTCAATACATTTAAGTTAGACAGTAAAGAACAAATGTACAAACATAAAGATTGATAAGCAACTTTACTTGTAAACCTCATTACTCAATGGAGGAAAACCACAACCTGTTCTCACCATTACTTTTAAAACCACTTTCATTAATCTTCAACAAGCAAAAGTAAAATTCGGTTACAACAAGAGATTAGCCTATTAATCTCCCCACTAAGTAAACTCCTATCACTTAGCTGAACCTGAGAAGATACAACACTGCTCTCTATACCAATCCTACCCGATTAATACAGATATAGGGTAATAACCTAAGTTACCATTAACCTAGCCCTTACAATAATTCACCCAAGTTTGGAAAGTTTCTTTCACAATTGAAAAGAATCCTACAATGTGAGAACAATTACAAGAAACTTAATACATCAAATACAAAAAGCAATAAATGCACTTCTATCAATTTCTTATGCTGTTCTTGAAGCTTGAAATTTCTCCTTTTTAATTAAATAATGAATTTTGTTGTTATTTGATTGAATATATACCAAGAAAAGTTATTACCCATCAAACAAACAACCTGGTTATCCCTAATTGGTGATGTACTTTGTTTCTTCACCAATTTTCTCGATGAAGAAAACTTTTACAGTTGTCCAGCACTTTGAAGTTTGGACGGGTTTCATACTCTGCAAAGGACTAGATCTCTGCACTTGTGAAAAGATCATCAACACATCTAAGAGAATAAACACTAATCAGTTTCAACTATTTTGATGGAGACATAGAAACTGCATAACTCCTCATGTGAGTGTAGGATCATTACTTTATATGTCCATAAACAGTAAGCATTATTAATATGGCCAATGAAATCTCATTCACTCTATCAGGTCTCTTTGTTGAGCTGAGTAGAGTTCTTCCTTAAAGATGACTTTCACTTTGTAAGCTCATGAATTTTCAGAGAAGAGAAAATCCAAATTTAGTCTGTCAAATATTGAGTTTGTGTTTCGCTGAGAAGATATATGAAATAAACACACACTCCTTGGGACCGCCGATTGTCTGAGAGCATAAATTTCTGGAAGGACGTACACCTACCACATCAGAGGTGGCAACTTTTCTTATAGTTGTCTTGTCTTCCTTTCACATACGTAGTCTTGTAGAGACGAGGTCCCTTGAAAACTTCTTTATGAATTCTTGAAAGGCTTGTTTGCTGACTTTCTTCTTTAAATGAATGAATTTAATGGTGTTTTTCATGTTAAACCATATCAAACATAAAGAGATATTATCTGTTGGACAAACACCCCCGTCCATTCTTAATGGTGTAGTACGCTGACACCTCACCAACCTATGACAGACAACTTTACAATTGTACGCAATTATAGATTTGGATGAGTGAACTAAGACATGGCCCAAGTCCCTTCATTTATGAGGATCATCAAAACACCTAGAATACAATATTTTCTCCCGTTTTAGGATAACACACAAATATACCTCACATTAAGTTTATCATTCATTTCACTGTCAGCAGTCCCAATGACAAGGATCTGGTTCCTTGATAGATAATTGAGTTTTTAAAATCATCAAAACTTAATATTAGCTCCGAACTATCATTCATAACTTAATATTAGCTCCGAAATAACTTTTCCCTTTTTTTATGATAACATACTTATTCCCAAGTTTCCCCTATCAACAAGAACTCTTAGGGTAGCTGAAGTTTCATCATCCCTGAAGTTTTTCAACTCATCAAAACATCAACATAGTAATGATGAAAAACTTCTTAAACTTCTTCAACCTGTTGGTAGGACCAGTTCCTCTTCACGTATCTAGCATTGATTCCCTCTGTGGACAGAATCATGTCCTCATCTAGTAGCTAGCATTTATTCCCCCTATCGGCATGACCCACATCTTCTTAAAAAAGATAACATCATTGATCTCATACCTTAACAATTTCCCCCTTTTGACATTATTAAAAAAAGGTTAAGACAGTAAACCAAGTTGACAAAAATGTATTTCCAGCAAATTCATGGCCACTTGAGCAACACTTAGCATGAGTAAAAAATGTGTAAAGTAACAAGAGAAACAATTAGAAGCAAGACATTCTTCATTCATAAGTAAAAGACCAACAATCAAAGTATTGCATATATCATAAGGAATAAGAGCCAAGACAATGCCTATTAAGTTTCAATTAAACAGAGGAATGAAGATGGATACACAAATTTGGGGAAAGAAGGGATGACTTGGAACCAAGGGATTGAAAGAATATAATTAATAGATCATATCCCTTAGCATGATTTTTTATAATCTCTCTTAATGTTCAGCATGTTATGCTGCCCAACATGTATGTTGAACCTTCAGGGATGCCAATTTATTTTGGCACCTAGTGCCTCTGATAGTGTTGTTTCAGAAGCTGTACTTTTAGACAACCCATTTCAGTATTCCAGTTAACGCCAACAACTGTCATAGCTTCCAACACCGTCCTGAGTTTCTTATTACAGAAAGAGATCAGCAATAGACATGTTTTTTCATCTCTTTCTATCAAGATCATTGCTTGAGAGAGCAAGTTTATGATAAAACAATTATCTTATAAAAGCGTAGATTCATTTCATTCATAAAAAATCTACACCAAGAATGTATCATTTTTTGACATTTTCCAAAAGAGATACCTCCACGTTGAAGTGCCTTCAGAGAGAGAGGAAGTCTTGTAACCTTCGTAGTCTAGTGCTTTGATCATTTGCTTTTCATGAACCAACACTGACTGATTCCTCTCTTCTGCACAAGAATTACTTGTTAGAATGGGGAACCAACTTCAAACAGAGTTCGAAGTAGCTGTCAAAAAGCTTAACAAGAAACCTTCCTGTCCAAGGGGGCAAAGTGTTCTTGCTAAATCAATAGCGAGGACCAAGCCTATTACTCTCTTTTTTCACATTATTGTCAGATCTAACAGGTTTAGCACGATGAATAGGTCCCTATTCTTTCTTCTTATTATTTTTTTTTATCATTTTCAGATTGGGCAAACTTCGAAGGCCTTTCTTTAGCTCTTTTCAGACTCTCAAACTTTTCTTTTTGCTAACCATATCTACCTTAGTGTGTGCATAAAATATTATCAGCTATAAACACGTATTTGATGTGGGGATTATTAGGATGTTCTACTGGTCTGCATCCCAACCCCTTCTTTCCATTGAAGCTCTGACTAGATAGGTTAGAGAGAATTTTGGATGATTCAGTCCACTTCAAAGAGTGACATAACTCTTCTCTTACCTTTGTTTGATCTCTCCTCAATTGAGCATTGGTTTTAAGAAAGACAATCAACTTAGACTCATAAGTTTTGTGTTTTTATTCCAGTTCCTCCTCAAAGACACTAAGCTTTTGCATTCCATCCTTAGAGGTACCAGGTCCTCATTAGGTTCCTGACAATCAATCTTAAGGACACCTATCCTCACACTTAATTCAGATATTTGAGATTTAAGAGCTGAATTCTTATCCTCACACAACCTTAATTATCCATTCAACATTAAGTTTTCAGTGGTTCGTTCATCAACAGAGTCAATAAGTTGGGAATCAAGTTTCCTCAAGTTATCAATCATTAGAGTATCTATATCATTTTAAGGTCAAAAAGAGTTACCTCATTTCGATCCTCTTCATCATCAGATTTTCTCATTAATGAGAAAATTGAGTTGAAAACATTTTCATCATATTCAATTACAATCATTTATACATCCTCATTGTTTTTTGCATCTTCTTCTAACACGCTTGAATCATTTCCCCAGAAAGAAAAGGCCTTTTTCACCAACTGATCAGCATGAGCCTTCCTCCGAACATTGTTTGGACCAGGTCCTTCTTGTGAAATCTGGTTTCATTAGATTCTTTTTTTTGACTAGGATAATCTCTCATGAAATGGCTCGGCTTGCCACATTTATGGCAGAGATCGTTTGCTGTCGCAGTTCTATTGGTATATAACTTCTTTTAAAACCTTCATGTTTCGTTATAATCTTCTAAAATTTCTAAGTAATTTAATTCATTTCGTCCTCCTTCTTAAAAACTTTATTTTTGGAGGAAGTCCTCAAATCAATTGACTTCTCTTTCTTCTTGTTCATTGTAGTTCATTTTTTTCTGTTTAACTCATAGGTTTGCAGATTCCCAATCAACTCGTCCATAGGAAGAGTCATCAAATCCTTCGCGTTTGTGATTGCATCCCTCTTGATTTCCCATGTTTTTTTTGAAGCACATTAAGGACAGTGAGAACTTGCTTGTAAACTGGAATGGTTTCTCCCGATCCTCTGAATTAATTAGTGATAGCAGTGAAAGAAGAGTTCATCCCAATGATGATTTCACCAACCTTCATCACAAAGTTCTCAAATTGAGTAGTTAGCATATCAACTTTAGACTCCTTTACTCATTTAGTCCCTTCATGAGTAGTTTTAAGACAGTCCCAAATTTCTTTGGCAGTCTCACAAGTAGAAATCCGATTGTATTCACCACCACTAATTCAACATACCAAGATCTTATTGGAATTATAGTTCTTTTCAATCTTTTTTTTGTTAGCTTCATTATATCCTTTCCTAGTCTTGACCACAGTGGTGGTTAACTCCCCATCCTTCACTTCATTGGTTGGAATATAAGGAACATCCAGAATAACGTCCCACAACTGGCTATCCTCGGCAATGATGTAGTCGTGCATTCTAATTTTCCACTACCCATAGCACTGTCCATTGAAGCGAGGTGGCCTGGTTGACGGTTGCCCTTCTTCCATATTTTGTGTTGCAGCCATCACATCAGGATCTTTCCTTTTCTTGGTGTTAACCAAAGTGATAAGTCAAGCTCTAATACCAAGTGTTGGAATGTAAGTATCCACTTATATTGATGGGACCAGGCCATCAATACAATAAAGTCAGACAGTAAAAGAACAAATGCAGAAACGTAAAGATTGACATGCAAATTTACATGGAAACCTCCTTGCTCAAGAGAATAAATCCACAACATGTTCTCAATAAGACTATTCCAACCACTTTCACTAATCTTCAAAAAAGAAAAGTAAAAGTTGGTTACAACAAGAGATTATCATGCTAATCTCCCCCACCAAGTAATACTCCTTATCACATAGCCGAGCCTGAGCAAATACAACACTTCTCTCTAAACTAATCCTACCCGAGTAATATAGATATAGAGTAAGAACCTAAGTTACCATTAACCTAGCCCTTACAATTATTTACCCAAGTTTGAAATGTGAAAGTTCTTTCACAATTAAAACGAATCGTACAATGTAAGAACAATTATAATCAACTTAATACAACAAGTACAAAGGCAATAAATGCACTTCTATCAATTCCTTTTGCTGTTCTTGAAGCTTGAAATTTCTCTCTTTGAATAAAATAATGAATTTTGTTATTGTGTGTTTGATATATACCAAGAAAATTTATTACCCATCACACAAACAACCTAGTCGTCCCTAATTGATGAAGTACTTTACTCTTTCACCAACTTTCGTGATGCAGACAACTTTTACAGTTGTCTAGCACTTTGAAGCCTGTACGATTTTCATACTCTGTAGAGGACCAAGTCCCTGCACTTGTGAGAAGATCATCAAAACATCTAAGAGCATAAACACTTATCAATTTAAACCGCTTTGATACAGACATACAACCTGCACAACTCCTCATATGAGTGTACGATCAATCATTCATATGTCTATACACAGTAGGCATTATTCATATGGAAAATGAACTCTCTTTAACTCTATCAAGTCCTTTTGTTGAGTTCAGTATAGTTCTTCCTTTAAGATGACTTTTGCTTTCTAAGCTCATGAATTTTCAGAGAAGATAAAATCAAAATTTAGTTTGCCAAATTTTGAGTTTGTGTTTTGGTGAGAAGACTATATGAAATACTTTAACTCCCTGTGACCGCCCATTGGATAAGAGCCTGCCTTTTTTGAAGGACATAGACCTACCATATCAGAAGTGACAACATTTCTGACAGCTATCTTGTTGTCCTTTCACATACGCAGTCTTGCAAGGACCAGGTCCCTTGCAAACTTCTTTATGAATTCATGAAAGGGTTGTTAGCTGACTTTCTTCTTTAAATGAATGAATTCAATAAGGTGTTTGTCATATTAAAAGTATCAAACATAATGAGTTATTATCCATTTTGACAAATACCCTCATCCATTCTGATTGGTCAGGTACGTTGATGCCTCACCAATCTCTGACACGTCATCTTCACAGTTGTACCCCATTAAAGATTTGGACGACCGAACTCAAACAGGGATCATGTCCCTTAATTTGTGAGGATCATCAAAACACCTAGACATTTTCCCCCTTTTTTATGATAACACACAAATATACATCATACTGAGTTTATCATTCCTTCAACTGTCAGCAGTCCCAATGACAAGGATCTGGTTCCTTGTTAGATGTTTAAGTTTTTTAAATCATCAAAACTTAATATCAGCTTTGAACTAACATTTCCCCCTTTTTATAATAACAGACTTATTCACAAGTCCCACCTATCAACAAGAACTCTTGGGGTAACTAGAGTTTCATCATCCCTGAAGTTTGTCAACTCATCAAAACATCAACATAGCAATATGGCCAAAGAAGAAAACAAAAGACACCCTTTCCTTTCACAGCTCAATGTAAGCATATATAATTACTCCCTTTGTACAACCACATAAATATTTAAGGATTCATTTAGACCATAGGTTAAAAAAAAATTAAACATCGTGCCAAATCAAATCATTCTACATATAATGAGACGGTTGAAGTACATTATGAGAATGCTTGATCAAGTTTTTAGAAGCCAAAAGTATTTTGATTTTTGAAATGTGTATTTTTTTAAAAATTTGAGGTGTTAAGTGTTTTTTAGTAATAACAAAAACTGGAAATAAAAATGTTCATTCTATTTTACAATGAATGGTTTATTTTTATTTTGCACGTAGTTAAATAAAGAAGACTTTTGATCATGTGTTACAAAATTAAAGTTATGCCAAATGCAGAAATTGTCCTTTAATCTTGTGATCTTAGACAAGTCACATGGTAAGTTGTTACCAAAAATAGAAAGTGGTCATTTTTTTTTCAAACAGACTAAAAAGAAAGGAGATCATTCTTTTTTAAACGGATAAAATACATTTTTTTTAAAAAACCCTTTTTGAAACTTTGGTCAAACAAAAATTGTTGCTCTATTAGTGTCAAGCATTTGTCAAATTGATGGCAAATTCTCATTGTCATCGTCCAAACTACTTTTTCAAGAAACACCTTTCCAAAATACAATACTTATTTTTTTAAATTAATAACTTTTAAAAAGTTTTTCTAAACAAACTATAAATCTATTTGGTAGTGATTTTTATATTTAAATTTATATTTTGTGTCGAAAATACTTAAATCAGTTGACTTGTAATTATTATCAATAATATTTTTTTTCATATTATAATTTTTAATCATGAATGCATATCATATATTAAAATGACATATTCTCAATTGGTGCAGCCTTTTGCTCAAGTACCAGCATTTGAAGATGGGGACTTGAAGCTCCTTGGTAAAGGTACTTTAGCTGTTCTTATAATTTGTAGTATATGTCAACACCAAGGTGTTAAAATTGGAAAGAGTTAAGTTATCTATGTATAGACATTCTAAATAATTATTATACTATCAATGTAATCTATCATGTTATAGTAGGTTACTCATTATACTTACTAGTTTATAGTAATTATTAACGCTTATAATATAATTTTTTTAGCATAATACATAAAAATACCTTTTATTTCTGTCTTATCTGGCATATATGCTCTTCAATTTGGAATATGCATAAGTAGACATTTAAATTTGCATATAATTAAATAAGTAGACCGACACGTCATACATGACAATGTGCAGTCTTACATGGTCTCCTAAGTGTATTAAGTCACGTCGAATATGTCTGTCTACTTGTTCAACTTTTTACAAGTTTAAGTGTCGACTTGCATACATCAAAAGTTGGAGAGTACACATGTCAGCTGAGTCCAAATCAAAGAACACTTTTATTTATTGTTTCAAATTTTACATGTTATAATACAAGTTGGGCAAGAGCTAACGACACAGAAAGTGTTCAACTATATCCTCTCGGCCGAATAATTATATTATGCAAATAGAGTGAGACAAATTGTTATATCCAACCTTTTCCCCCTTGACATAAAGGAAGATTTTACTAGTGATAAAGGGTTTCATAAGTTCAATCTTAACTTTGACACACTAATTTATATTTTTGAATCCTATTATATATATATATATATATATATATATATATATATATATATATATATATATATATATATATATAAGAAGAATTAACTTAAATAGCTACCACCTAATCGTTTCAATTAATAGCCAACTATAATTTATGTATATCAGTTGGGAAATGTAAACAAGTTAATCCATTTAGTTATTTATGTAAAGATTCCTTATACAAATTTTTGAGTCTACAATTGTTGATAAGTGTCCTCTTTAATACTTACGATTTGATATGATAAATTGTGTACTTGCAATGCAGAATCAACATCACTCATTAGTACATTGCTCATGTTTATGCTGGACTCCAAGATCAAAAGAAAATGGCCATTAGGTCAGTATGGGTGGAGGTAGAAGGGCAAAGATATGAACCACCAGCTTCAAAACTATCATGGGAGGTAGTCATAAAACCAATGATTGGCATGGGTGTTATATTCTAGATGTTTTAATGATCCTCGTAAATACAGGAACCTTGTCCCTGTAAGAGTATTCTCCTCCAGATACAAATGAGGTACAATTGTAAAGCTTTTATGTTAGGTGATTTAAACCACGTAGAATATGTGTGTACACTTTTTCAACTTTTTACAAGTTCAAGTGTGTACTTGCATACATCTAAAGTTGAAAAGTACATCTGTCAGCTGAGTACAAATTAAAGAACACTTTTTTATGTATTTTTTCAATTTTTACATGTTATAATACAAGTTAGGCCAGAGCTAATGACACAGAAAGTGTTCAACTAAATCCTCTCGGCCGAATAATTATACTATACAAATAGAGTGAGACTAACTGTTGTATCCAACCTTTACCCCTTGACATAAATGAAGATTTTACTAGTGATAAAAGGGTTTCACAAGTTCAATCTTAACTTTGACACACTAATTTATGTTTTTGAATCCCCTTTACATATATATATATATATATATAGATATATATATATATATATAGATATAGATATATAGATATATATATAAAGAGGATTCAAAATTATAAATTCTTGATTCTACAATTGCTGATAAGTGACCTTCTCTTTGAACCTATCAAGTTGATGTGATAAATTTTATACTTCTAATGCAGAATAAAGGGAAATCACTGATTAGTATATCGCTCATGTTTATGTTGGCAACGACATTCAACTAGTACTCCAAGATCCAAAGAAAATGGCCATTATGTCAGTATGGATTGAAGTAGAAGGCCAAAGATTAGAATCACCAGCTTCAAAACTATCATAGGCGATAGTCATAAAACCATGATTGGCATGGGTGTTATATTCTAGGTGTTTTGATGATCCTCACAAATGCATGGACCTTGTCCCTGGCAGAGTGTTGTCATCCAGATATAAATGGGGTACAACTGTAAAGCTGTCATGTCAGGTGTTAGGTGAAAAGTTTTGTGTCCTACAGAAATTGGAAAAGTAGACGAGATTGTATGTTTAAGTATCTAACAAATGCAGGGACATGGTCCCTCATAGGGTTTTCTCCGTCACGAGCATAATGGAGTACAACTATAACAGTTGTCTGCGTTAGAAGGTTGGTGAAGTGTCAGTACTACACCAATCAAATGGAGGAGGTTGTTTTTCCAATGGGTAATAACTCTTTATGTTTAATATATTTAGCATGAAAAGTACCAAATTAAATTCATTCACCCAAAGAAGAAAGTCAGCCAGCAGGCCTTTTCAAGAACTCACAAAGAAGTTTGCAAGGGACTTGGTCCCTGTAAGATTGCGATATGAAAAGGTTATGAGACAGCTATTCGAAAAACTGCCACCTTTGATGTGGCAGGTACACAACATATTTGAACTGCAGGCCTTTAGCCATTGGGATTTTCTCAACGAATTTGTGGTGGTTTATATTATCTCTTTCCAACAAAAATAAATTTAAGACTTGGAAAATTAAACTTGGATTTTCTATGAAAATTTATAAGGATGAACTGAAGGTCATCTTCAAGGAAGAATATTGCTCAAATCAATCGAAAGACCTAATAGAGTAAAGAAGAATCTTTGTTGTATTTAGAGCTTTGTGTCTATGTACTTACTTACATTGTGAATATGTTCCTAATGTATAAAGGATTCAGATATTTGATTCGGGTTGTAAAAGTCTAAATCAGTTAAGGTTAGCTGTTTTAGTGGAAAACATCATTTTGTTACTTAGACAAATTCTAAGTCATCTAGACTTAGGTGGTTTAGTGGCTGGTGGTGTGGTATCCGCTCAGAAAATTCTAAGTTATCTAGTGGTGATATCTTAGTGGGCGGTGTGGTATCTGCTTAGGCTATTCAATTAATAGGTAGATTACTTGATCGTGAGATTAATAACTTTTTTCTCGCATTGGTTGTAATCTGGTTTCACTTTTGCGTGAGAAAATTAGTAAAGACGGTTGAAAATCCTATGAAACAGGTTGTGGTTTTACTCCCTTAAGCAAAGATCTTTCCACGTAAAGTTGTTTGTTCAACCATTACTTTTAGCACTTCTTTTATTGTCTATTATTGTAACTGTGTTGAGGACATTGTCCTATACAAACAGGTGGACGAAAACACCATCCCCATCTTTGGAGAACTTCCAACTAAGCTTGTTTTGGACAGCTTCTTCCAAAACCATTAGAGATTTGTCAAGGTGTTGTTTGGACTTCACCTCAACAACTAATGATGTTTCAGAGTTATAATGAACTATAGCACCCCCATTTGGGAAACCTTCCAACCTAGCAAATCTATGCAGTTCTTTCGCCGAATATATCTTAGCTTCATCAATGTGGTATACACTACCATAGTTACACGACTTAGGGAATCGACCACTATATTAGCTTTACCGGGGAGATAAAAGCACTCATATCATAGTCCTTCAACAAATCCATCCACCTTCTTTGTCGTAGATTCAACTCCTTTTAGGTAAATACATATTAAAGACTTTGTGATCGGTAAACACATCAACATAAACCCCATACAAGTAGTGTCTCCAAATTTTCAAAGCAAACACCACGGCCGCTAACTCAAGGTCATGCCTGGGATAGTTTTTCTCATGCAATTTAAGTTGCCTAGAGGCGTGGGCAATCACCTTCCCATTTTGCATAAGTACACACCCCGAACATACCCGGGATGCATCACAATAAATAACAAACCCCTTTGAACCTTCCGGTAAAGTCAACACCGGAGCAAAAGTAAGCCTATCCTTCAAAAATTGGAAGCTCTTCTCACACTCTTACAACCATTAAAACTTCTTGCTCGTTTAAGACAATGTGGTAAACGGTGATGAAATGGATGCGAAGCCATCCACAAATCTTTGATAGTAACCTGCTAGACCCAAGAAACTCCTAATGTTAGTTGGAGTCAAAAGCATTGGCCAATTCCTTACCGCATCATTTTTCCTTGGATTCACCTCTACTCGCTACCTAGATATTATATACCCACGGAAGGTCACCGCCCTTAGGCAAAACTCACATTTACTATATTTGGTGAATATTTGGTGTTCCTTAAGTGATTGAGATACCACCCTCAGATGACCCATGTGATCCTTCTCACTCCTTGAGTATACCAGGAAAACATCAACACACACAATGACGAATGAATCTAGGTATTCCAGAAAAACCATGTTCATTAGATCCATAAATGTCGTCGGAGCATTAGTTAAACCAAAAGACATCACCAAGAAGTTGTAGTGCCCATACCTAGTCCAAAAGACCGTCTTTGGGATATCCTCACCTCTCACCCTTAGTTGGTCATACCCTAACCTCAAGTCTATCTTTGAGAAGTAACTCGCCCCTTGGAGTTGATCAAATAAATCATCTATCTGAGGAAGAGAATATTTATTCTTTATAGTAGATTTGTTGAGTTGACGGTAGTCTATACACATTCTCAATGACCCATATTTCTTTTTGACGAATAACACCAGAGCACCCCATGGAGATATGGTAGGCTTGGTAAAACCTTTGTTTAGAAAATCCTTAATTTGGCCTTCAAATCCTTTACTTCGGCTGGAGCCATCCGATATGGAGAAATTGAAATGGGATTTTTTTCTGGTACTAATCGATACCAAAATCAATTTCCAGTTTGGGAGGAATATCGGGAAGGGCATTAGGAAAAACCTTTGGAAATTCACCTACTACGGGGACCGACTCGATAAGAGGAATGTCGGAATCCAAATCGTGGACTCTCACAATGTTATAAAGACAACACTTAGAAATCATTTACCATGCTTTTAGGTAATATATGATGCGACATCTAGGAAAAGAATTCCCACCCTTCCACTCAACAACGGGTTCATTTTGGAAATTAAACCTAACCACTCTTGTCCTACAACCGATATTAGAAAAACTAGCATGTAACCAATCCATACCAAAATTGACCTCAAAATCAAGCATATCTAGTTCAACTAGATCCACATTAGAAACTCTATTGGGCAATGAAATAAGACAATTTTGATAGACTCTTTTAGCAACAACCGTCTCTCTCACCGGAGTACACACTAGAAAAGGCTAATGAAAAATATCGGGTAAGATATCAAACTTTTTATCTACTAGAGGTGTAAAAAAGGAAAAGGTAGCACACGTATCCTGTAAGGCATAAAAATTTGTAGTAAATATTTTTAACATACCGATTACCACGTCGGGAGAGGCCTCCTGCTCACCCCTAGAACAAATAGCATAGAAGCGGTTCTTCTTTGGAGCATCACTAGAACCACTTGGATGTCCACTCTGCTCTTGCCATTTAGCATTAGGTCAATCGCTCACCTTGTGCCCGACCTTTCCACATACAAATAATTTGTCTGAACCAAGGAGGCAAACACCAAAATGATTCTTTCCACATTCATTTCAAGATGGGTTCTCTACTAATGATTTCTCACTCTTCCCTTTTTGATATCTTGGCCTTGAACCCTTCTCATATCTAGCCTTGGGAAATTTGGATGGAACATGATTTGAGAACATCTTCTTCAATCGAGGCTCATCTTGGATTCAAGCCTTTTTGTACTCCGACCCTTAAAAGACCTTGCCTTCTTTGAATCCCTAACCTTCCTTTTTGCCCTTGACTCCTGAAATCTTCTAGCATGCACCATAAGAAGACTGATATTCATATTATCATGAAGCATCACCGAATTACTTTCTTCTTGTAAGTCCTACGATACTCCTGTCATAAATTGAATCATGTCATCTCTAGGATCGGAGACTAGGGAAGGAGCATATCTGTCCAATTGAATGAACTTCAAGGAGTAATCATGAACAGTCATATATCCTTGACGGAGGTTAATGAATTCCACCACCTTTTCTTCTCTCATCTCTATAGGGAAAAATCAGTCAAGGAATGCATTCTTGAAGATCTCCTAATTCAGCGGCACACCTCTAAGAGGCATATTATCTCTCTATTGCCCATACCAATTTTGGGCCACATCCTTGAGTTGATATGTTGCAAACTCGACCTTCTCAGTTTAAGACACCCCCATACAAATAGTCTTTTATAAAACTTCCCAAGAAATTCTTCGGGGTCTTCATCAACCTTAAACCCATAGAAAACAAGAGAGTTCATTCGAGTGAAGTCCCTCAGTCAGGAAGCCACAGTAGAAACCTGTTGATGAACTCTTGGTGCAACCTCCCGATTGGCTTGGGCCGTCCTCAACTTGGGATTGAATCGTTGCGGCCTGAGCTTGAGTGGTAATAGCTTGAGCAATTTGAGAAAGAATATCCCTCATCTCAGTCTACGTCATAGGTGCTAGGTTCGCCGAAGTTTGATCACCAACAACATTCTCCTTAAGGGGAGGAACATGATAACCACGGGGTGGAGCTCCGCATTAGCAATCTCCTCCTCATGTCTTCTAGCCATATTCCGTCGAGTATTCATTTTCTATAACAAAAATAAGGTTTAGGTGAAATCATATAAAATAAACTCTAGAGGCACGATGATGGATTTCTGTTATTTGGTGCACAGTCTTGAACAGTAGCAGAAATGGCAGACGCATTAGAAACCTCAACCAATGGCATCGTTTTACATTTTGTGACCTTTCTACATAAACAAAATATCCCTATATTCACAATTATTTTTTGCAACTTGAAGAATATCTCAAGAACATCTGCAAAGGCTTACTAAAGGAGTAAAGAAGCATCCTCAAGATCAACTCAAATCTGAAAGAGCGGGAAGATTAGTTGTCTTAGGATAATTTCTTCTGCACGTAACTTGTAAATTTGTTCCTCCATTTATAAAGGAATCATATAGTTGTTTGGTGTGAAAATCCTAAATCAGTTGAGTCGAATT